CCCACAGGTCAGGGAACCCTGATTGCTCTTCGAGCAGATGAGGGGGGGGACTTGATCGGGGGAGGGGGAGGGAAATGGGAAGTGGTTGTGGGGACGAGGCAGAAATCCTTAATAAATAAATAAATTAAAAAAAAAAGAAATACAGATAGGTTGGAGGCAGGGTCCTTTTCTTATCTCCACAGGAAAATACTCATCTTCAAAGAAATTAAGGGACCCTGAATATTTAATTACTGATGGATGGACACATTTTGTAAGTATTAATTTATATATATATATGTCTTATTAAACATTTCTTTATAAATATGTAGAGCTGGTTTTGAAGTTGGACTCTGGCTCAGTCCCTCTCCAATTCCAAGCCTGTTAGTAAGAGAAAAACCCAGAGTTTCTGGACTTTCATGTCAAGAGCCATGATATGGGACAGAAAGAAATATGAGGTTAGAAAACATCTTTGCTTTTCTTCATATCTATCATACTTTTCATTGAATATATCTATCATGCCTTTTATTGAATATATATGTATGTCTATATGTGTCTATATGATTAATGTTTAAGTTTTTCACAATGAACAATGAGTTTTTCCTGAAGTGACATTTGATGTTTCCAGGAAGAAGATGGGGCCCCACAACAACAACTCTACCTGGTTGATATGACGTCATGATGCTGATAGCGCTACTACAAGACCTGTTTTGGGTACCAACTGCACAAGACGATCCTGACTTGGTTATCTGAAATGGTGCACATCTTGTACAACATTCTGGCCAGACCTCCACAAAATACTCAGAGACTATTTGCAATTTTAAAAGACATTGATCTTGAAATTTAACCATCATTTTACTATCACTGAATCCCCCAGAAAGAATGTCGCCCCCATGACAGCTGGAAGTTATTCTAGAGGACGACGTCCCCTCTCCCAGTAAAGTTTTCCCCTGGGTTTAGGGACATCATTTAGGGGTTGGGAGGTTGGGGGAGGAATTTTATAAGCTCAGGGATCATTTTGAAAAAAAAAAAAGAGGGAATGATGGGATAATAGATTTATAATTGTGAGTTACTGCTTTTAGACAAATATATTGGTATCAATTCATATATATTGATACAAAGTTAAATTATATCGACTATTGTATGCATGCATGTTTCTATCTCTGTTTAAAACATTTTTTATGTATTGACATATATTGTATTGATATATATATTGTATATATTTTCCATATTGCAATGTACATTTCTACCTCTGATTAAGATACTTATATAATGTTTGTGTATTGATATATATTTACCATATTGCAATGTATATTTGTACAGTGTTTATATTTGGAGGTCATTATCCTCATTTGTTACACAGTTGTTTATTTTCTTAGTCTTTAAGTTAGATATTGAGAATTATATAGACAAATAGTCATCTAAGTTTGTCATTTATAATCAGACTAATCAGGTTCTTTAGATATATAGAGATTATACTCAGTATAGATAGATAATCTTCAACCTCTTCAAAGAGCTGTAGAAAATGGCCTTTAATCTAACTCAGAGTTTTGTGATAGTGAGACACAATTGCTCCTGGCAACACCGCTCTATTCCCGAGAGAATGTTGAGCACCAAAGACACTCCACCTGGAGCCTTTCTATTTGGCAGAACTGGCCTTTGGGCAAAGAAATGCCCATACCTCAACCACAGACACAGATACAGAGTGTGCATCAATGGATAAAACAGGACTGTCATATCCTGCCAAGACAGGGTAAGATAGTTTTGAAAAGTTCCTTGCCTTTAATAATGGTATGTCAGTTATGTTAGACCTTAGCCAAAGTTGGTTGACTCAACATTGCAAACGAGACTTTGGGTGATTGCCCAGGTAGTCAGTTGTCTCTGTCAATTGTTGCACATTTTGGATATATCTTGTTTGTTAAGTAATATTTATTCCCTTCTCAGATCTTTGATGGAGTTGAAGATTATATAATTGTAGTTACTCTCTACATTATTTAGATTCCTTGAGATAGAATGTTTAGCAAAACTTTTGTTCTCAATATTGTTTGTTATATTTATTATTTGTTTTTATTGTATATAGTTGTATTTGGTTTAGTTCTGTCTTATTTAGACAAAAAGGGGAGATGTAGGGATAAGTCCCGCCCCTTAGGGGGCGTGTTCGCCTCGGGTTAATGTTTGCCTATAAATTTGGTGAGCGTGCTCCCAGCTGCTGCTTCTACTTTCCTGGTCTCTGTGGGAACGGTGGTTCTGTAAGTCTATTTCTCCATTAAAGCTGTATATATATATATTTACAATCTGTCTGCATTCGTTTATGCCGTTACAAGTTTTCAATACAGTCAGTAATTATATAAAACACAAGGACCTGATGATCAAGTCCCTGTTTTCCTTATTCCTTTGGGTCCAGAAGAAATCATTGTATATCTCCTGCTGTTGGATTTATTCCCATGTGTTGTATATAACCATATATAGGCCTATAGGAATTTTTCTTCAGAATGTATAGATTTGTTATGACTCAACACTAGAATGAGAGCCCAGTGTCACAGAGAGCAATGGATCTCAAGAGACATTTTGTTAGTATTTAGGCACACCCTGTCACAACACCTCATGCCCTATGCCTGGCTGTACAGCAAATGGTGCCCTGTCCCATTAAGAGATGCTCTGGCTACTTCTAGTCTCTCTAGTGCTCTCTCTTCCTCCCTGCTTCCCTCCCTCCCTCCTTTCCCCTTCTGTCTTTTTCTCTTTTTTCCCCACTGAGGCAAGCAGGTCTCAGCCTCTTTCCTTTCTCCCTCCTCACTCTCTCTCTCTCTCTCTCCCTTCCTCATGTCCTTTTCTCTTCTTTACACTCCCCTTCCATCTGCATGTCATATTTGTCTTTCCCTTATTATCCATGGTTTGAACCTCACCCACGTGCTATGGGACCGGGAAAGATTTCCAAATGTCCTATTGGCACACTGGGAGTTCTTTAACACCATCAACCCTCAAGTACTGCAAATCAAAGTTCAATGAGTTGATACTTGATATCATTATGATGGTGAAAATACAAAAGATAAGTCAGTCATGGTGGCACAGTTCTGCAATCCCAGCACTTGGTAGAGGAAAGTGTGTGTGTGTGTGTGTGTGTGTGTGTGTGTGTGTGTCACATATATGAGGTTGAAGCTGGACAACAAAATCTGCTATAAAAATTGAGAAGTACATGTTGCATGCTGAGGTCACAGGTAGAGCAATTGTCTAGCATGCACAGATGCTGGGACACATGTGAAAGTGTAAAGATACTGGAGAACAGGAACCTGCTATGTTATTGCTGAAATTGTAGATGAAGATAGTGCAGCCACTAGCGCCTGACCATTTACAAAAGAAAGAAGGGGGAAACCCTAATTACCTACTGCTTGATGAGTGGGTAAATGAAGGGTGGTGTGTTAATACAATGGTCTAGTTTCTAGCCATGAAAAGAGGTAGAGAGCTGATCCATCCTATAATATGAATAAATATCACAAACATTAAGCTCAGTCGAAAGTAGCCAAAGGACTGGAGAATGGGACACTTCTTTATTAGATGATTTGATATCTATTAAATACCCAGAATGAGACACTTGAAGCAAAAAGTTATATTGGTAACTGATAGGGGGTGGGGACTGGGTGAACAAAGAGTAACCACTCACAAATAAAGGGTTTTTGTCTCGAACGATGAAAATATTTTTAAAATAAATAGGGTGATGGTTGCATAATTTTAAGAACATACTAAAACAAACTACTAGGTTGTATACTTTAAAAGAGTGAACTTACTACATAAATTACGTATCAATATTTATAGATCACATTTCTTTCATGTCTATGTATGTTTTGTCTGCATGTATGTATGTGTGCATGTATATATGTCTGCATGCATGTATGTGTGCATGTCTGGTGCCTGCAAAGACACAAGAGGGCGCTAGATTCCCTAGAAATAAATTTACAGATGTCTGTGAGCTTCCTTCCATGTAGGTGTGGTTTTAGGTTGAAGGGTTTGTGCTGAGAGGTATTGAGGACTGTCTTTCTCCTCCAGGAGCATACAGACTACCTTCCAGTACCCTGAACTCTGGTTAGTAGGTGAATAATCTAGTTAGACAGCAGCTCAACTTCTCCATATTCAGTGACAGAAGTGTCACCTTTAGAAACAAGACCCTAACATCAGGTTTTGTGAGCAACCAAGAGCCTTGGCAATAGCTGTGCTGTTTGCTGGTTTCCAAGGGTCTCTTTGGTTAATGACTCAACAGGCGGTAACCTGTTCCTGGCACTGGAGGTTTCATTTGGTGGCACAAATGTCTAGCGGAAGCCTTTTCTCCCCTGTTGTTTTTTGTCTCAATGTGGGTTCCTTTCACATATGTATAGGAAGCTTTTAGGGTACTCAGTTTCCATACAGTTTTTCGAAGAACCTTTAATATTGGTTGTCCCTCTCTATTTTCCCTTCTTTACCTTTCTGTCCCATCCCCCTTTTACTAAACCATCCAATTCTAGTTTTCCTTTTAGCTTCCAAACACTATAGACTACTTCCTTTCCTTGAGAGATACTCTCCTCCCTCCTGGTCCCTTTGTAGGTTCCAAACCTCTGTGTATTATGATTGTAGTTGCCATATCAGAACCTTAAAAGGGAACATCCTTAAAAGAGAAAACATACAATATTTGTCTACATGTGCTAAGTACTGTATGCTTTTGTTGGTGGAGTCTGAAATGCGCATGCGCAGAATACTCATGGTGCAACAGCTGCTGAGCACCATTGTGTGCTCACAGCGCATCACTATGCCCATGGAACTGTGTTGCTAAGGAGGAAGCAGAGTTCAGCTCACACTGAACCAAGGATCTGCCCTAGCAGGACGCTTATTTGGTTCAGTGGGGAAACTTAACTAGGATTTTGAACATTTCTTATTGGGTTTGGGAGGGTACGGGTGGCTAAAGGGGAAGGAAGGGTGGGTCGGGAGGGCCGGGAGGGCCGGGAGGGCCCCGGAGGGCCAGGAGGGCCGGGAGGGCCTGCAGAGCCTTGAGGCTCAATATGCTGGACGACTTCGAATATGATGCCCTGACTTTTAGAGCCCCTCAGCGGACTCATTGGTACACCCGCCTGCGGCCCACATGCCTGGGTCATGGGCGCTTTGTTCGGAAACGGCCGCAATTTCAACTGTACCTAATTGGGTATGACCCTGTGGGGCAGCTACAAAGGGCGGCCAGCGTGGGTGATGTGGCATTAGTTCAAAAATTCATCAATGGCAACGAACACCACATAAACGAACTCGACAAGAGAGGAAGGTAATGGGGCCCAGGGATGGTGAGGGGCAGGAGGGGTGGAAAATGTTGGGAACAGTCAGGGTCTGCCAGGGAGAAACATACTTTCTAGATCTGCAGCCTGAGGGAGGGCAGAGGTCATACTGCTTAAAGCTCTTCTTTCATGGAGACCACTGGGCTTTGTGCCTGCTTTAGGCTCGTAGGCACCTGCTCACCTTGGAAGGGCAGCTTTGAGGCCTTCTTTAAGAAAGCAAAACAAAAATCTTCAGTTAGTTTACAAATCCTTTTACATTGTCTCTTTTAGAGCACTCTATTGGGTGCTTTAAAGGGATTTAGCTAAGAAAACCACGTACATTTTTTTATGTGTGCACTTAAAATTTTATAGGTTTGAGTGTTTTGCCTGCATGTATTTTCAACATAACACACACACACATAAGAAGAGGGTGTTGGATCTCCTGGAAGTGGAGTTTTGGACAGTTGTGATCTGCTATATGGGTGATAGGAATCAAACCCAGGTCCTCTACAGAAAAACTAGAGCTTGTAAATGCCAAGCCATCTCTCCAGCCCTTAATGTATATGTTTTTAATGCTGTTATATGCAACACAGAATTGTATCATGAGATAAATTTTCACATAAGATGTCCACTGGAAGCCAAAAAAAGAAAGAAAAGAAAACATATGTCAGTTTCATGCTCGCTGAGGAATCTCATAAGGAAATTTTCAACTTGAACTATAACTCTGTCTCCCTGCCCCTTATATACCTGTTGTGTGTGCTTTGATTTTGGTACATACATGAAGGCTAGTGGTTGAAATTCTCTTCAAAAATTTCTTTTCATCACATTACAAAAATCATAAGTGTGTGGGGCTCCTGTGCCCCAACCATGCCAAGTAAGTGTGTGAATTTCAGGAGAGAACTGTATTTGACCATTGTGTTCTGCCATGTTGTGGGCTCTGGGAATTGAACTCAGGCCATTGGGTCTGCCAGTGGGTGCCCTCACCTGATGAACTACCCTGTGGTTTCTACATCTCAGCTTTTGAGACAGATTCTCTCACCCAAATCCCCACTGTGTTTGACTGATTGTCTTGGAGTATACTGACTCACCTAGACTTGCAGGCAAGCGAGCTTTGGGGATCCTCCTGGATCCATATCTCCAGCACCAGATTCTCAAGGTGCTTGGGGTTCTGAAGTCGGTGTCTCAGGCTTGCAGGGTGAGTGCTTAGCAACTGAGTTTAAACAATCACTGCAGCCCTCTTTCCTAATCCATGTTTCTTATTTCTCACTAGATCAAAGGCAGGAAATAATGGCCCTCAACAGTAGATTCTCCAGAGCTCACATGCTTCTTGATCATGTCTGGAGTTGTGAGGTTACTTAGTCTATAGTTATTCAGTCTTCCAAATTAGAGTGTCATACAAATAATAGTAAATCATTGTTTCAAAGTATTTTTTGCTTAATAAATGTATCCATTCAGAACACTGAATTCTCCAGCTATACTTATCCCTTCTGCCAAACCATTTATTCCCCACGTGTAACTTAGATATCTACTGTACAGCATACACATCTACTAGCTCTCAAGATCCTCTCATTCTGAAAAGATTCACGTTTCTCTGCCCAGTCAACTTTCCTTACATTCTATATATTTAAATATTGAATAAAATGAAAGATGCCCAATTGCATCCCTAGTATTTTTTGGCCAGAAGCTTTTTGGAAATCAAAGCAAGGGAGCTATGAAGCCATGGATTATCTCCTTCTCGAGAGATTTGCTCAATTATGGTGCTAGATCATGGACACATTGAGAGGTTTAAGACAAAGGCATTTGCTACCTTCTGGTGTCTGTATTAACATGGATAGTCTGTCTATTGTCTGAGGACTATGCTGTGTTTCTGTTGGTAGCAAACATAGAAACATTACATCTGGGCACTGAGAAATGAAAACGTCAAAGTATTGATGACTGAGGATTTAGATTTTTGTTTGTTGTTATTTCTATTCTAAATCTGTTTACATTTCATAGTCTTAAGAGCTGAAATTTACATAGATACATGTGACCTTTAGAATTATCATGGGCCTGTGGATTGTGTCGTTTCATTTGATGTAGGCACAATGGATTACATGATGACCTTTTATTTTGTATGGCAGCAAAGTAGAAAGCATTGCTGATTATAGTCATCAAATATCATGAATTAAAAGTGGCAGATGTCAGTGATGCTAAAGTGTGAAATAAAGAGTAAGGTAGGTGCAGTGGAACTGCCTGCATTCCTACCTACTGGGAGGATTGCCAAGTTCAAGGCCAGCTTAGGTAATAGAGTTTTAAGATGTGGTAAAGGTATTTGAATAAAAAATTTTGCATCTGCTGTAGTATAACATGAGTTCTGCGCTCATTAGGGTTTCTGTCCTACCCAGTCCCCCAGCCATGTAGTCCCAGAGAAAATAGCACAGAGATCACCCACCGTAAGTTATAAAACTGATAGGCCCATTAGCTCAGTCTCCTTATTAGCTCTTGTGGCTTATATTAACCCATTATTCCTATCTGTGCTAGCCACATGGCTCGGTACCTTTTACAAGGGGGCAGGTCACATGTTACTTCTTCGGTGGACTGGGCTGGACTGGGGAAGAATAGGCTTCCTTCTTCCCAGAATACTCCTGTTCTCATCTCCCCACCTCTGCTTCCTGTCTGGTTGACTGGCCTATACTTCCTGCCTGGCCAATCAGCATTTATTTAAAACATGATTGACAGGGGCTGGAGAGATGGCTCAGAGGTTAACAGCATTGCCTGCTCTTCCAAAGGTCCTGAGTTCAATTCCCAGCAACCACATGGTGGCTCACAACCATCTGTGATGAGGTCTGGTGCACTCTTCTGGCCTTCACGCATACACACAGACAGAATATTGTATACATAATAAATCAGTAAATATTTTTTAAAAAATTTAAAACATGATTGACAGAATACAGACAATTCTCCCACACCACTATAGGTATAATTCTGTTCTTTCTCTTCATTGAAATACTGTGTTTGTTACCATTAGGAAGACCAATCATAATTATATCCAGCAAACACTGAGGTGTCAGGTGCTGGAAGCATTTGTATGTGCTCTTGAAGATGTGAGTTTTAAAATCACAGCAGCACTGTGTAAGACAGCTACAGTGTTGAATCCCCATTCTACAGATGGAGAGATTGAGTCATGGAGCTCATAGGAAGTCTAAGTGGTAACTAATAACCAACAGTGATTAGGGTAGGATTCAAATCCAAGCTTAGTTCATTCTAAGAGGTGTTCTCCTGTAATCCAGAGAGGCTGCTCTGAGGAAGGATGAAGCTTGTGATAGAGCACTTTCCTTGACTGGGACTATATGCACTATATATATAGTGCACTAAATGCACTATATGCCTAGCACAGCAAATGAACACCTAAGTAGAGAAATAAGTAAATAAGAAAATTTTAGTTTCTTCTTTTACATCAGAAGGAACTTCACTTTGCCATATAGTATTTACACTTGAATGTACCTTTACATAGTAATTTTTCATTTCCTAAAATGTCCTCTCAATTTGTAGGACATCACTACACTACGCGTGTGCCCATAACCATCCCAACGTGGTAGCATGGTTAGTATCCAACGACTGTACGGAAATCAATATCCAGGATGACAAAGGCTGCACGCCCTTAATTAAGGTAGCTATCGGGCAAGAGTTTTGGTATAAAATTGATTAGATATTATCCTTGTTTGGTTTTTATTACTGTGATGAAACACTGGCCAAAACCAGCTTGAGAAAAGAAATATTTATTCGGCCTACAATTCCACATCACAGTCAGGCATTAAAGGAAACCAGGGCAGAAGCTCAATCAGGACTAGAGGCAGGAAATGAAGCAGAGATCATCGGGGGGGGGGGGGGGCGGTGCTGCTTTCCCATGGCTTTTTCCAAGGCTTTCTCGGATTTCTTATACTACCCAGGACCACCTGCCTAGTCATGCCACCTCCCCTAGGAAGCTGTGCCCTCCCATATCAACCTCAATCAAGAAAATGCTCTACAGACTTCCCCGAGTCCAGTCTGGTAGAGGCGATCCTTCAAGTGAGGTTCCTTCTTTCCCAGTGTCTTCAGCCTGTGTCAAATTATCGAAACAAGCAAATGAACAAGCAACCTCCCCCACTGCAACAATGGCCAAACAGTGCTGGTGAAATGCTTTAATATCTAGGTGTGGTGACATACCCCTGAAATTCTACCACTTGGAAAACTTTGGTGGGGAGGTCATGAATTTAGGCAAGCCTGGGGTACTTGAGAGGCCCCAGTCTCAAAAAAGAGATAATATGCGTAACCTAAACAATTGGTCTGATCCAAGGGTAACTACTCAATGCAATTGTTGGAATGCTTATCCTGACTTTCTTGAATTCAGTATCTCTTTCTTTCTACAATACCCACAGGCGACCCAGATGGACAACGTGGAGTGTGTCTCCATACTACTCATGAAGGGTGCAGATCCCCACATCGTAGATTTCGGTGGGGATGCAGCTCTACACCATGCAGTTGTCCGAGGAAATATAACAATTGCTGGAAAACTGCTTAAATATAAGGCAAATATTGACGCCAAAACAAAGGTAAAAATCACTCAACTTCATTCGCAATGTACTTCCAGCAATGACACTCAGATCACTTTCCACATTCTGAAGCTCAGGCAGACTCACTAAATCTGTTCAGAGTCAAGCATTTTTCCCAATCTGTTTTTTACAGTTTTGCAGGTAACTTAAAGGAACTCAGCACAGCACATTTTGTTTCAGACTTGGGCTTTACTTTAAAATTGAACAAGTAAAGTACTCGGGCCCACACGTACTTCACATACACACAATCAATAAAAAATAATGTTAAGGTAAATGTCTGTAGAAAACACCAGAAATCTGTTACAAGTAAGAAGCTACTGATGTGGTTTGTCTCCCAGAGATGAGGCTAGAGTGAAAAGGTCACATGCACACAGGCAAATGTGGAAATTGGATCATTGAAGAAAATATACTGAGAATACATCTTTATTTAACTTTTTCAAATTTTCTATGTTCATAATGAAGGGGCCAAAATGTGACTCCATCTTAGACAAGTAGTGACTCCATTTTAACTAATGACCTAAGCCTGAATCCAGGAAGTTCCCCAGTCAAGTTTAGCCAATTGGCTAAACAGTTCCAAACCTAGCCTTATAAGGCTGAGAGACCCAGAGTTGCAGGATCTGGCTACTACTGACCATATGTGACAGAAAATTCCAACAACGGATGAAACTGTTACTAGTCTTGTACAATCAATGTGCACCTCATGTAACTACTCCCTGAGTGCCCAATTATAAAAAAGATACTTAGAATTCCCCATATCCCTTTTAAAAGGGCATGCATGTCTTTGTCCTAGGTCCTCATTAACATTTTTTATGGGTGATGGACTGCATTCTGGCTATTTCTGAAGAATAAGCACTCTTTGTGTTTACATACCATTTGAGTCTGGGATCGTCCTCCAGTATTTTTTGGACCACTACAATAGGGAATGATGTTTGGTTTGTGAGATAATTTTTAGTTTAGGGAAAAACATAGTTTTGAAAGACAGATTGAGAAACTGCTCCAGAGATGCCACTTGAGTCCACTCATTCAACAGAGGCACACCAAATCTAACTCAGTGTTTTAGGGTTGGGAAATGGAGGCACATCTCCATGGAGCTAAGAAGCTTGGAACCAGCGAGCATTTGTGGGAAGTTCTGGAGATGAGTGGTGTTCACGGGCAGTGTTGGACAGGGGAAGGTGTGTCAAAGGGAAGAGAGCCCCTGTGTGTATGAATCTGCAGCAAGGGCTGAAGGAAAATCTATCCTTTTGTGACTTTTTATTTACAAAATCAGTGATACTTTTTCAGTAGAGAAGCATGTAATTTCTAAAATGATTTTTTTTCTTTACAGTATGGGATGACCCCATATAAACTCGCACTATACGAAAGGCAACACCAAATGGCCGAGTTTTTAATAAAGAGCGGGGCAGAGGCACATTCGGTGATGAAGCCAAATAGGTACAGTTTCTTCTTTTTACAATCTTAGTGCTGTTCTTGAGGGTGACATTGCTTAAGTAATGAACCCTAAAGTAGTAGAGGGAATATGGCTTCAACTCAGAAGGACATATTGAGAAAGCCTAGCTCATAGAGAATGTGAACTGGAAAAGAGACTCTTCCAACATAAACAAAGGAACAGTGTGTACGAGGGCTCAACTTCCCATTTAAAAACAAGTTTGTCATTTCTAATCTGATTTGATTGGCAAATTTCTACTAGTTAAAGAAACTTCACATTAATGTTGTTTACATTGAAAAGTGTCAACTTTATTTTCAACACTGAGATTTATAATTTTAGTGGTTTTCATTCTGTGTGTGTTTGTACTTTACATATTTTTTTGCATATTTCTTTGTGCAGACATGAAGGAAAGAGGAGGATATTGGTGTCTTGTATCACTCTCTAACTTATCCACTTGACATAAGATCTCTGATTGACCCTGAAGCTGGTCTGGCAGTCAATAAGCCCAAATGGTAGCCTGTCTCTTCCACCCACAGGACTGGGTGGCATGTGCATTCTTTGTGTCTGTGCCCAGTTTTTATGTGGATGCTGAGGATTTAAACTTGGGTTGTTGTGTATGGGAAGCAAACATCTTATTGACTGAGCCATCTCCAAAACCACTGGCTTTTTAAATTTTTATTTTTAAATAGAACTACGACTGAGTCTTCACTGAATGTTACATAGATTGCAATAAGTTGAAACTACAAAAGCAACAAACAACTTTAAGACAGGGATCAATGTTGAATTACATAAATGCAAAAATGTTACTTAGTATGCAGGTAAGAAATCTTTCAACCGAGTTTCTCTAAGGACCAAACCCACTCACCACTACATGTTTGTATTCTAAAGGATCTCTGAAAATCCTGACGTGCCTGAATCTAGAACAGAGGACAAGGGCAGTACCTCTGCTATTAAGGTAAAATTCTCCTTTGTGAAATTCGTTGTCTTATGAATTTTGTTAAAATGCTGCAGCAGTCCACCTATCACAGTTTTATATGGAGATTTGGTCAGAGAAAAGCGTTTGGTATTTGTGAACCATCCTTTCTATAAATTCCAGTGAGCAGTAAGTCCTTGCAGGTAGCAGTGGCCCAATAGGACAATGAGCTGGAAACACAGGAAGGTGCCTGATGTTTGAACAAGGATGGTTTGCAGAAATAAATACACATTAGACTGATTTTAAAAATGACCGAGGTAATGCACCTGAATACATTTTAACGGGTCCAGTTATTGCAGTGGTCCAGGCATCACCCAGGTGCCTTTTCCTTCAGCATAATTGCAGGTAGGTTTTTTCTTCCCTTTGATATTCCTATTTCAGGATCACAGATAAGAGCATCTCCTCTGTTTATCTCTTTGTTTCTGTGTTTACACTAGCAAGAAATTGTGGAAATTTAGCTATTTGTAATGTGTTCAACCAAGGTTTCATTATGAAGAGATTACAGCGTGTTTTCTATTTGATTCCACTAGGAGGATAATGAAATCTCTTCCTCCAGTCACACAGTAAGTATTTTCCCCAATTAGCCAGCAGTTGTGGATGTTAAGATTCAATTACCATATAGTAACACTTTGATTTCTGGATATTTGTTCTGTCTTTGACACTAATATACACTCTGATTCTTTGTATCATGTTCACACATTTACAATATTGTAGGGTTGTAATGAGACATTTATCTATTCATAGTAAAGTGACCTCATCACTATGCACTGCTGGAGGTTCGGAAACCTGTTTGTAACCTGGAGCCCTAAAGTAAGGGTTTGTGTGAATCAGAAGTTGAATATTAATGACTTTTGAATGTGACTCAGTGAACCAATGGGTTTCTCTAAAGCAGTTTCACAGATACTATGATATGGAGAACACTAGTAACCGAGAGTTTATTTACAAATGGAAAATAACATGCATTTTGCATCCCAAACATAGAAGAGAAACTCTGATGAAAGGGGCCTATTAAAATTAATAATCATCTCACATGAGATTCAGAAATTTTAAAATATAGTGAGTTCAGTTCAGTCTCAGTCACAAGGAAAAACCCAGTTTCTCAGTTCATGATTTTCTCAATCTAGTTAGCAGAAATATTTTTTTTACTACTTGATGATATCATAGTAATTTGTAAATAGATAAGCATATTAGCAGATATTTTACTTTTAAGTAATAGTTTCTACTTTCCATCTTTCAATACCCTGTCCTGGTAAGGGATAAAGTAGTTTTGAAATTGTGCACCCCAAATCAAAAGAGTTCATTTCCTAATCAAACCAGGAGAGTCGATCCTCTGTCTTTTCATTGCAGAACATACAGAAACAATTTCTATATTTTAACAAGATCACCACAATAAAGAAGAGGGAACAGGCAGTTCTGAGAAAATCAGTGATGAACCTAAGTTCTCTGGGAGAGGCAATGCCTGAATACTCCAGAAAAAAACATGAATGATTGTAATTCCCAATAACTTGAAAAGTAACATAATTGCTTATGAGGGGAGTGATGCCTTTGTGTATCTATGTCTGCAGAGTTGCAAATAGTGTCAGAAATGAGGAACCCAGCCCCAAATATATCCTTCACCTCCTTCATACCCACACTCCTGGGAATACCTATGCTAGCTAGTGACCTTCTTAGGCAGTAGATCTCAATCTTTCTAATGCTGTGACCATTTAATACAGTTTCTCATGTTGGGGTGACCCTAACTGTATAATAATTTTTGCTGCTAATTCATAACTTCATAACTGTAATTTTACATGCAGGCATGTACACACATATGCACACACTCACACATGCGTGCACACAGGCACGTACACACACACTCACACCACCACCACCACCACCACCACCACCACCACCACCAAGCAAGAGAAAGAGAGAGACAGAGAAAGAAGGGATAGCACATGTTTCAATGTTTGAATACTTTGTTAGCATTTAGGAGACTGGTTAACCTTTGGGATATGGTCTAGCTAGCAGAATGTTGTCTGTGGTGGGTCGTAATGGTCATCCCTATTTTTGGAACCAGTTCTGGGTTGTATGCTTCCCTGTCTACTAGCATGTGAGAAGCAATAGACCACTGCCACAGACAAAGCCTCCCTGTTTGCTTTCCCTACTTCAACTGCTGGAGGGAAAGTCATTCAGTTATAGCAGGGAAGGCAAACAGGAGTTTCCTGTAGCCATTAGTCTTCCTTCCTTCATTCCCTCCTTCCTTCCTTCCTTAAATAATCTCTGTCAGACATTTTGTCACAGCAAGTATAAAAGAAATAACCGTCATTAGTGTTTTTATTTATTTTATTCATTTTTTCTTTTATTATTTTAAGACAATCTTTTTTATTTTACATACCAATCCAAGATTCCTCTCCTTCCCTTCCTCTTTCTTGCCCTATCCTCTCCCACCCTCTCCCCATCAATTTTGCAGAGAGAATGAGGTCTCCCATGTGGAGTCAACAAAGTCTGTCATATCCCTTGAGGCAGGACCAAGGCCATCTTCCCTGTATCTAGACTGAGCAAAGTATCCCTCCATAGGGAATGGGCTCCAAAAAAGCCAGTTCACATACTAGGGATAAATAAATCCTGGTCCCACTTCCTGTGGCCCAACAAAGCTGTCCAAGCCATATAACTGTCATCCATATTCAGCGGGCCTAGTTTGGTCGTATTCAGGTTACCCAATTGTCAGTCAAGAGCCAGTGAGCCCCCTACTTTCTTGGGTCAGCTATTTCTGTGGGTTTCTCTACATTCAACCACATACCTGGTAACAAAGCAAATCTCAACAGATAAAAAAAAAATGAAATAACCACATCTTATCAGATCACCTTTGGGTTAAAGTTGGAATCAACAACACTAATTGCAAAAATCCCACAAACTCATGGAAACTGAACAATTCTCAATAGAAATAAAGGAAGACTTCTTAGAATTTAGTGAAAATGAATGCACAACATATCCAATTCTTTGAGATACTTTGAAAGCAGTACTAACAGAAAAATTCTTAGCAATAAGTACCTACATAAAGAACCCGAAAAAAAATCTCACACTACAGTCTAACAGCACTCTAGAAAACTGTAGAATAAAAACAGCAAACTCACCCAGGAGGAGGAGATGGCAGGGAAAAATCAAATTGAGGACTGAAATCAATAAAATAGAAACAAAGAAAACAATACAAAGAGTCAATGGGACAAACTGCTGCTTTTTTGTAGAATATCAACAATATAGACAAACCCTTATCTAAAGAACCCAAAAGAAAAGTAGAGAATATCCAAATTAACAAAATCAGAAATGAGAAGGGGGCCATAACATCAGACACTGAGGAAATCCAGAGAATCATCAGATCATACATGAAACCTGTACTCCACAAAACTGGAAAATGTGAAGGAAATGTTCAATTTTCTTTTATGTTTCTTTATTGATTTTTATTGAGCTCTACATTTTTCTCTGCTGCCCTCCCTGCCTCTCCCCTCCCCCTTCAACTCTCCCCCAAGGGCCCCATGCTCCCAATTTAGTCAGGAGAGCTTGTCTTTTCCTACTCCCGATGAAGATTAGATCTATACAAGTCTCTCTTAGTGTCCTCATTGTTGTCTAAGTTCTCTGGGATCGTGGTTTGTAGGCTGGCTTTCTTTGCTTTATGTTTAAAAACCACCTATGAGTGAATACACGTGATAATTGTCTTTCTGTGTCTGGGTCACCTCACTCAAAATAATGTTTTCTAGCTCCATCAATTTTCATGCAAAATTCAAGATAAGGTATAAAGCAAGTAAAAGAGCTAGTTCTGTCTGTAGACCTTACTTACACCACTTACCAATCTCCAATACAAATGGTTAAGAGCTAGCTCATTACCTTGAAGCATCTCAGTTCAACATTAGGAGAGACGGGGCAGATTCGACATAACTCTTACACCTAATGAAACCATTGGTAACTGTAATTTTAATATTTTCAAAACCAAACTCAAATGTTCTGTCTTTTAGGCCTAATCCAATTTGGCTTCTAAATTATTATTAGCTATTAAGTATGATCAAATTGAGTAATAGATCAAGGGAGGTCTTAGCAGGGAGATAGATCTCAAGAGATTTTAATGAGTAGACATTCACATGCCAGACATCTTCCAAGATTTCAGTAAAAATTCATTAGCATACAAAGTAACATGATTAATACAAATAGAATTATTAGACTAATGCAGAGGTTTTTGGCTGATACAGAAAGTCAATGGTAATGTGATGACTGTGGCAACCATGGAGTGTTGCCCTCAGCATGAAGGGAACAACATCTTGGATAAGCAAAGGATTAGACTACAAAACACAATATCACTAACGGATTAAGGTATTAGCATATTCTTGAGGCAACTAAAGCAAAACATCAGTGGTTTCTATCCTTCAAAAATGCGAATGAAATAAAAGCAAACATCACTTTTCTGAGGTTAGAATTGCATAAAACTATATTAACACATGAGTTCTCCAGAATCCATTATCTGGTAATTGCAGTATAATGAGTATAAAATCACCAAACTCAGCGAGATAATGTCGGTTCCCCATGCTAACAGAATATTAAGTAGGAGACTTCATGGAGAGGTCAGCCAGACATGCTGAGAAAGGACACAGGCCCCAAAGGCACAAAGATGATGCTATGCCTAGGAAAAGGCAAACCTAACATATCAATGAGTTTACTCCATATTCATTCTGAACTGCTAAAAACCAAACTCTATTTCTATCTTCAACTCTCTCCCCTCTCAAACAGAGTCATCTTTTCATTGAAAAGCTAGAACACACACACAAGTACAGAAACACATACACACATGCCAACAGGTCAGAGCACTAACTTTGTAACTCTATGACCTGAGTTCCGTCTCAGAACACAACAAGCAGCAAGTGTCTGATACATAATGCCAACACGCTGATATCTAGATTAGAGGCCAAGAGTAGAACAGCCATGACATACAAACCATCCAGAATGAAAAACGAAGAGCAGCTGAATCACTGTAAGATCATCTCGCAAAAGGAAAATGGAGACAGCCATTCCTAAAGGTTCTACTCTGCCCTTCTCAAACAAAAACACACATACACATGTACACACATACACACACAAACATACATAAACATGAACGAGAGCAGGTCCCGTTTTAAGATTCTCAAATTCGGGGCTTTGAATCAAACAGAAAGAAAGCAGAGATTACACGATAACAGTGGGTATAATGATAAAATTTCCGTGAGGAAAGAAATATTTGGGGACTATAAATCAAGAGCCTGGCATGAACAGATAAGTTTTTCTAAAGTGAATCAAAATCAGTGACATTTTTAATGAAAACTACAATCCCAAAATTTCCATAAAGGTTGAAGAAACCAGGCCGGAAGGATTTCTTCCTGATAATTATGACGATGGCATCGTGGCCCAGTCTACCGCCGACACTGAATTACATTCATTTCAAGGTACAAGGCACAGATGTGACACTCTTCAGGAATCTGAGAAAATGACACTTCACGACACCACAATGGATCACACACGTTCTTTAGGACTTACACTGGGCATGCAAGGGGAGACCACATGCTGACTCTAAGCTTGCTCTTGGTAGCCACACTGGTGACACCATGGACCCTCTGCAACATTACTTTTTGACAGTGAATAAACATTTGGAATGTATTTGAAAACAATCACAACTATGAACTTTGTTGCAATTAGAGGCCCTCTAGGTTCTCCACAATGATACTGAGTATGCTCACAAGGGGTTCCCATTGTCAAGTCTTCAAACAAGCATCTTGAAAAGAAAAGAAACTCAGCAATCCACCATTCAATTGTTTTAATGTTTGTTCACAAATGGTGGAAATACTAAAGTACAGACAGTAATAATCGTGATGTTGTGGCCAACATTATAAATATGGAATTATAAATTTAAAACAGTTTCTGGATACAAAAAATAAATCTGGTCATCCATGCAGCCCTGCAGGGCTCTCTAGTAGGGCCGGTCTCTAAGTTCCTGAATGTTTTCATCTTTATCCTTTTACGCAGGTCCTCCAGGGCCTCCAGGACCACTTCTTGTTCATTCCATCTGTTCCATCAATGGTCCAGGACCGCGTCTTATTCCTCCACCAAGGCCACCTCGGTCCAAGCTACGGACATCGAAGAAGCAACCTCTGTCTCCACCTCTGCCTCCTCGGGACATTTCTGCAGGACCAACACGGTCCATAAGTCCGCCTGATCCTCGCTGCATGCCACCAGGGCAGCCTCACCAGGTGAAAACAGAGAGCCCCCTTGTTAAGGTTATTATCTTACTACCCCCTTCATCCCCCTCCCCCACACATAAACCGGAGCAGGTCCCCTTTTAAGATTCTCAAACTCTCAGCTTTGAATTAAACTGAAAGAAACCATGGTTAACCGATAGCAGTGGTTATAGTGATAAAATTTCCCTGAGCAAAGAAATATTTGGGGACTATAAATCAAGACCCTGGCATGAAGAGATAAGTTCTTCTAAAGCGAATCAAAATCAGTGACTTTTTTTTTTGTTTTTTGTTTTTTGTTTTTTTGGGTTTTGGAGACAGGGTTTCTCTGTGGCTTTGGAGCCTGTCCTAAAGCTAGCTCTGTAAACCAGGCTGGTCTCGAACTCACAGAGATCCACCTGCCTCTGCCTCCCGAAGGCTGGGATTAAAGGTGTGCGCCACGACCGCCCGGCCGTGACATTTTTAATGAAAACTAAGATCTCAAAATTTCCTGAAAGGTTCAAGAAACCAAGCCGGAAGGATTTCTTCCTGAAAATTATGACGATGGCATCGTGCCCCAGCCTACCGACGACACTGAATTACCTTCATTTCAAGGTACAAGGCACAGATGTGACACTTCTCAGGCATCTGAGAAAATGACACTTCACGACACCACAATGGATCACACACGTTCTTTAGGACTTACACTGGGCATGTAAGGGGAGACCACATGCTGACGCTAAGCTTGCTCTTGGTAGCCACACTGGTGACACCATGGACCCTCTGCAACATTAGTTTTGACAGTTACTAAACATTTGGAATGTATGTGAAAACAATCACAACTATGAACTTTGTTGCAATTAGAGGCCCTCTAGGTTCTCCACAATGATACTGAGTATGCTCACAAGGGGTTCCCATTGTCAAGTCTTCAAACAAGCATCTTGAAAAGAAAAGAATCTCAGCAAACTACCATTCAATTGTTTTAATGTTTCTTCACAAATGGTGGAAATACTAAAGTACAGACAGTAATAATCGTGATGTTGTGGCCAACATTATAAATATGGAATTATAAATTAAAATAGTTTCTGGATACAAAAAATAAATTGCCTCGTCCATGAAGCCCTGCAGGGCTCTCTAGTAGGGCCAGTCTCTAAGTTCCTGACTGTTTTCATCTTTATCCTTTTACGCAGGTCCTCCAGGGCCTCCAGGACCACCTCTTGTTCATTCCATCTGTTCCATCAATGGTCCAGGAGGAGCCCCAGGACCGCGTCTTATTCCTCCACCAAGGCCACCTCGGTCCAAGCTACGGACATCTAAGAAGCAACCTCTGTCTCCACCTCTGCCTCCTCGGGACATTTCTGCAGGACCAACACGGTCCATAAGTCTGCCTGATCCTCGCTGCATGCCACCAGGGCAGCCTCACCAGGTGATAACAGAGAGCAACCTTGTGAAGGTTATTCTCTTACTACCCCCCATTCTCCCCCCCCCCCCCACATAAACCTGAACAGGTCCCCTTTTAAGATTCTCAATCTCTCAGCTTTGAATTAAACTGAAAGGAACCATGGTTAACCGATAGCAATGGTTATAGTGATAAAATTTCCCTGAGCAAAGAAATATTTGGGGACTATAAATCAAGACCCTGGCATGAACAGATAAGTTCTTCTAAAACGAATCAAATTCAGTGACATTGTTAATGAATACTAAGATCTCAAAATTTCCTGAAAGGTTCAAGAAACCAAGCCGGAAGGATTTCTTCCTGAAAATTATGACGATGGCATCGTGCCCAAGACTACCGACGACACTGACTTACCTTCATTTCAAGGTACAAGGCACAGATGTGACACTTCTCAGGAATCTGAGAAAATGACACTTCACGACACCACAATGGATCACACACGTTCTTTAGGACTTACACTGGGCATGTAAGGGGAGACCACATGCTGACGCTAAGCTTGCTCTTGGTAGCCACACTGGTGACACCATGGACCCTCTGCAACATTAGTTTTGACAGTTAGTAAACATTTGGAATGTATTTGAAAACAATCACAACTATGAACTTTGTTGCAATTAGAGGCCCTCTAGGTTCTCCACAATGATACTGAGTATGCTCACAAGGGGTTCCCATCGTCAAGTCTTCAAACAAGCATCTTGAAAAGAAAAGAAACTCAGCAAACCACCATTCAATTGTTTTAATGTTTGTTCACAAATGGTGGAAATACTAAAGTACAGACAGTAATAATCGTGATGTTGTGGCCAACATTATAAATATGGAATTATAAATTAAAATAGTTTCTGGATAGAAAAAATAAATTGCCTCGTCCATGCAGCCCTGCAGGGCTCTCTAGTAGGGCCGGTCTCTAAGTTCCTGACTGTTTTCATCATTATCCTTATACGCAGGTCCTCCAGGGCCTCCAGGACCACCTCTTGTTCATTCCATCTGTTCCATCAATGGTCCAGGAGGAGCCCCAGGACCGCATCTTATTCCTCCACCAAGGCCACCTCGGTCCAAGCTACGGACATCTAAGAAGCAACCTCTGTCTCCACCTCTGCCTCCTCGGGACATTTCTGCAGGACCAACACGGTCCATAACTCCGTCTGATCCTCGCTGCATGCCACCAGGGAAGCCTCACCAGGTGATAACAGAGAGCCACCTTGTGAAGGTTTTCTCTTACTACCCCCCATTCCCCCCCCCACACACACAAAAACCTGAACAGGTCCCCTTTTAAGATTCTCAATCTCTCAGCTTTGAATTAAACTGAAAGGAACCATGGTTAACCGATAGCAATGGTTATAGTGATAAAATTTCCCTGAGCAAAGAAATATTTGGGGACTATAAATCAAGACCCTGGCATGAACAGATAAGTTCTTCTAAAGCGAATCAAAATCAGTGACATTTTTAATGAAAACTAAGATCTCAAAATTTCCTGAAAGGTTCAAGAAACCAAGCCGGAAGGATTTCTTCCTGAAAATTATGACGATGTCATCGTGCCTCAGACTACCGACGACACTGAATTACCTTCATTTCAAGGTACAAGGCACAGATGTGACACTTCTCAGGACACTTCACGACACCACAATGGATCACACACGTTCTTTAGGACTTACACTGGGCATGTAAGGGGAGACCACATGCTGATGCTAAGCTTGCTCTTGGTAGCCACACTGGTGACACCATGGACCCTCTGCAACATTAGTGTTGACAGTTAGTAAACATTTGGAATGTATTTGAAAACAATCACAACTATGAACTTTGTTGCAATTAGAGGCCCTCTAGGTTCTCCACAATGATACTGAGTATGCTCACAAGGGGTTCCCATTGTCAAGTCTTCAAACAAGCATCTTGAAGAGAAAAGAAACTCAAAAAACCACCATTCAATTGCTTTAATGTTTCTTCACAATTGATGGAAATCTTAAGTACAGACAGTAATAATCATGATGTTCTGGCCAACATTATAAATATGGAATTATAAATTAAAATGTTTTCTGGATACAAAAAATAAATTGCCTCGTCCATGCAGCCCTGCAGGGCTCTCTAGTAGGGCCGGTCTCTAAGTTCCTGACTGTTTTCATCATTATCCTTATACGCAGGTCCTCCAGGGCCTCCAGGACCACCTCTTGTTCATTCCATCTGTTCCATCAATGGTCCAGGAGGAGCCCCAGGACCGCATCTTATTCCTCCACCAAGGCCACCTCGGTCCAAGGTACGGACATCTAAGAAGCAACCTCTGTCTCCACCTCTGCCTCCTCGGGACATTTCTGCAGGACCAACACGGTCCATAAGTCCGTCTGATCCTCGCTGCATGCCACCAGGGAAGCCTCACCAGGTGATAACAGAGAGCCACCTTGTGAAGGTTTTCTCTTACTACCCCCCATCCTCCCCCCCCCCCACACATAAACCTGAGCAGGTCCACTTTTAAGATTCTCAAACTCTCAGCTTTGAATTAAACTGAAAGGAACCATGGTTAACCGATAGCAGTGGTTATAGTGATAAAATTTCCCTGAGCAAAGAAATATTTGGGGACTATAAATCAAGACCCTGGCATGAACAGATAAGTTCTTCTAAAACGAATCAAATTCAGTGACATTTTTAATGAAAACTAAGATCTCAAAATTTCCTGAAAGGTTCAAGAAACCAAGCCGGAAGGATTTCTTCCTGAAAATTATGACGATGGCATCGTGCCTCAGACTACCGACAACACTGAATTACCTTCATTTCAAGGTACAAGGCATAGATGTGACACTTCTCAGGAATCTGAGAAAATAACACTTCACGACACCACAATGGATCACACACGTTCTTTAGGACTTACACTGGGCATGTAAGGGGAGACCACATGCTGACGCTAAGCTTGCTCTTGGTAGCCACACTGGTGACACCATGGACCCTCTGCAACATTAGTTTTGACAGTTAGTAAACATTTGGAATGTATTTGAAAACAATCACAACTATGAACTTTGTTGCAATTAGAGGCCCTCTAGGTTCTCCACAATGATACTGAGTATGCTCACAAGGGGTTCCCATTGTCAAGTCTTCAAACAAGCATCTTGAAAAGAAAAGAATCTCAGCAAACTACCATTCAATTGTTTTAATGTTTCTTCACAAATGGTGGAAATACTAAAGTACAGACTGTAATAATCGTGATGTTGTGGCAACATTATAAATATGGAATTATAAATTAAAGTAGTTTCTGGATACAAAAAATAAATTGCCTCGTCCATGAAGCCCTGCAGGGCTCTCTAGTAGGGCCGGTCTCTAAGTTCCTGACTGTTTTCATCTTTATCCTTTTACGCAGGTCCTCCAGGGCCTCCAGGACCACCTCTTGTTCATTCCATCTGTTCCATCAATGGTCCAGGAGGAGCCCCAGGACCGCGTCTTATTCCTCCACCAAGGCCACCTCGGTCCAAGGTACGGACATCTAAGAAGCAACCTCTGTCTCCACCTCTGCCTCCTCGGGACATTTCTGCAGGACCAACACGGTCCATAAGTCTGCCTGATCCTCGCTGCATGCCACCAGGGCAGCCTCACCAGGTGATAACAGAGAGCAACCTTGTGAAGGTTATTCTCTTACTACCCCCCATTCTCCCCCCCCCCACACATAAACCTGAACAGGTCCCCTTTTAAGATTCTCAATCTCTCAGCTTTGAATTAAACTGAAAGGAACCATGGTTAACCGATAGCAATGGTTATAGTGATAAAATTTCCCTGAGCAAAGAAATATTTGGGGACTATAAATCAAGACCCTGGCATGAACAGATAAGTTCTTCTAAAGCGAATCAAAATCAGTGACATTTTTAATGAAAACTAAGATCTCAAAATTTCCTGAAAGGTTCAAGAAACCAAGCCGGAAGGATTTCTTCCTGAAAATTATGACGATGGCATCGTGCCCCAGACTACCGACGACACTGAATTACCTTCATTTCAAGGTACAAGGCACAGATGTGACACTTCTCAGGACACTTCACGACACCACAATGGATCACACACGTTCTTTAGGACTTACACTGGGCATGTAAGGGGAGACCACATGCTGATGCTAAGCTTGCTCTTGGTAGCCACAGTGGTGAAACCATGGACCTTCTGCAACATTAGTGTTGACAGTAAACATTTGGAATGTATTTGAAAACAATCACAACTATGAACTTTGTTGCAATTAGAGGCCCTCTAGGTTCTCCACAATGATACTGAGTATGCTCACAAGGGGTTCCCATTGTCAAGTCTTCAAACAAGCATCTTGAAGAGAAAAGAAACTCAAAAAACCACCATTCAATTGCTTTAATGTTTCTTCACAATTGATGGAAATCTTAAGTACAGACAGTAATAATCATGATGTTCTGGCCAACATTATAAATATGGAATTATAAATTAAAATGTTTTCTGGATACAAAAAATAAATTGCCTCGTCCATGCAGCCCTGCAGGGCTCTCTAGTAGGGCCGGTCTCTAAGTTCCTGACTGTTTTCATCATTATCCTTTTACGCAGGTCCTCCAGGGCCTCCAGGACCACCTCTTGTTCATTCCATCTGTTCCATCAATGGTCCAGGAGGAGCCCCAGGACCGCATCTTATTCCTCCACCAAGGCCACCTCGGTCCAAGGTACGGACATCTAAGAAGCAACCTCTGTCTCCACCTCTGCCTCCTCGGGACATTTCTGCAGGACCAACACGGTCCATAAGTCCGTCTGATCCTCGCTGCATGCCACCAGGGAAGCCTCACCAGGTGATAACAGAGAGCCACCTTGTGAAGGTTTTCTCTTACTACCCCCCATCCTCCCCCCCCCCCACACATAAACCTGAGCAGGTCCACTTTTAAGATTCTCAAACTCTCAGCTTTGAATTAAACTGAAAGGAACCATGGTTAACCGATAGCAGTGGTTATAGTGATAAAATTTCCCTGAGCAAAGAAATATTTGGGGACTATAAATCAAGACCCTGGCATGAACAGATAAGTTCTTCTAAAACGAATCAAATTCAGTGACATTTTTAATGAAAACTAAGATCTCAAAATTTCCTGAAAGGTTCAAGAAACCAAGCCGGAAGGATTTCTTCCTGAAAATTATGACGATGGCATCGTGCCTCAGACTACCGACAACACTGAATTACCTTCATTTCAAGGTACAAGGCATAGATGTGACACTTCTCAGGAATCTGAGAAAATAACACTTCACGACACCACAATGGATCACACACGTTCTTTAGGACTTACACTGGGCATGTAAGGGGAGACCACATGCTGACGCTAAGCTTGCTCTTGGTAGCCACACTGGTGACACCATGGACCCTCTGCAACATTAGTTTTGACAGTTAGTAAACATTTGGAATGTATTTGAAAACAATCACAACTATGAACTTTGTTGCAATTAGAGGCCCTCTAGGTTCTCCACAATGATACTGAGTATGCTCACAAGGGGTTCCCATTGTCAAGTCTTCAAACAAGCATCTTGAAGAGAAAAGAAACTCAAAAAACCACCATTCAATTGCTTTAATGTTTCTTCACAATTGATGGAAATCTTAAGTACAGACAGTAATAATCATGATGTTCTGGCCAACATTATAAATATGGAATTATAAATTAAAATGTTTTCTGGATACAAAAAATAAATTGCCTCGTCCATGCAGCCCTGCAGGGCTCTCTAGTAGGGCCGGTCTCTAAGTTCCTGACTGTTTTCATCATTATCCTTTTACGCAGGTCCTCCAGGGCCTCCAGGACCACCTCTTGTTCATTCCATCTGTTCCATCAATGGTCCAGGAGGAGCCCCAGGACCGCATCTTATTCCTCCACCAAGGCCACCTCGGTCCAAGGTACGGACATCTAAGAAGCAACCTCTGTCTCCACCTCTGCCTCCTCGGGACATTTCTGCAGGACCAACACGGTCCATAAGTCCGTCTGATCCTCGCTGCATGCCACCAGGGAAGCCTCACCAGGTGATAACAGAGAGCCACCTTGTGAAGGTTTTCTCTTACTACCCCCCATCCTCCCCCCCCCCCACACACACATAAACCTGAGCAGGTCCACTTTTAAGATTCTCAAACTCTCAGCTTTGAATTAAACTGAAAGGAACCATGGTTAACCGATAGCAGTGGTTATAGTGATAAAATTTCCCTGAGCAAAGAAATATTTGGGGACTATAAATCAAGACCCTGGCATGAACAGATAAGTTCTTCTAAAACGAATCAAATTCAGTGACATTTTTAATGAAAACTAAGATCTCAAAATTTCCTGAAAGGTTCAAGAAACCAAGCCGGAAGGATTTCTTCCTGAAAATTATGACGATGGCATCGTGCCTCAGACTACCGACAACACTGAATTACCTTCATTTCAAGGTACAAGGCATAGATGTGACACTTCTCAGGAATCTGAGAAAATAACACTTCACGACACCACAATGGATCACACACGTTCTTTAGGACTTACACTGGGCATGTAAGGGGAGACCACATGCTGACGCTAAGCTTGCTCTTGGTAGCCACACTGGTGACACCATGGACCCTCTGCAACATTAGTTTTGACAGTTAGTAAACATTTGGAATGTATTTGAAAACAATCACAACTATGAACTTTGTTGCAATTAGAGGCCCTCTAGGTTCTCCACAATGATACTGAGTATGCTCACAAGGGGTTCCCATTGTCAAGTCTTCAAACAAGCATCTTGAAAAGAAAAGAATCTCAGCAAACTACCATTCAATTGTTTTAATGTTTCTTCACAAATGGTGGAAATACTAAAGTACAGACTGTAATAATCGTGATGTTGTGGCAACATTATAAATATGGAATTATAAATTAAAGTAGTTTCTGGATACAAAAAATAAATTGCCTCGTCCATGAAGCCCTGCAGGGCTCTCTAGTAGGGCCGGTCTCTAAGTTCCTGACTGTTTTCATCTTTATCCTTTTACGCAGGTCCTCCAGGGCCTCCAGGACCACCTCTTGTTCATTCCATCTGTTCCATCAATGGTCCAGGAGGAGCCCCAGGACCGCATCTTATTCCTCCACCAAGGCCACCTCGGTCCAAGGTACGGACATCTAAGAAGCAACCTCTGTCTCCACCTCTGCCTCCTCGGGACATTTCTGCAGGACCAACACGGTCCATAAGTCTGCCTGATCCTCGCTGCATGCCACCAGGGCAGCCTCACCAGGTGATAACAGAGAGCAACCTTGTGAAGGTTATTCTCTTACTACCCCCCATTCTCCCCCCCCCCCCACATAAACCTGAACAGGTCTCCTTTTAAAATTCTCAATCTCTCAGCTTTGAATTAAACTGAAAGGAACCATGGTTAACCGATAGCAATGGTTATAGTGATAAAATTTCCCTGAGCAAAGAAATATTTGGGGACTATAAATCAAGACCCTGGCATGAACAGATAAGTTCTTCTAAAGCGAATCAAAATCAGTGACATTTTTAATGAAAACTAAGATCTCAAAATTTCCTGAAAGGTTCAAGAAACCAAGCCGGAAGGATTTCTTCCTGAAAATTATGACGATGGCATCGTGCCCCAGACTACCGACGACACTGAATTACCTTCATTTCAAGGTACAAGGCACAGATGTGACACTTCTCAGGACACTTCACGACACCACAATGGATCACACACGTTCTTTAGGACTTACACTGGGCATGTAAGGGGAGACCACATGCTGATGCTAAGCTTGCTCTTGGTAGCCACAGTGGTGAAACCATGGACCTTCTGCAACATTAGTGTTGACAGTAAACATTTGGAATGTATTTGAAAACAATCACAACTATGAACTTTGTTGCAATTAGAGGCCCTCTAGGTTCTCCACAATGATACTGAGTATGCTCACAAGGGGTTCCCATTGTCAAGTCTTCAAACAAGCATCTTGAAGAGAAAAGAAACTCAAAAAACCACCATTCAATTGCTTTAATGTTTCTTCACAATTGATGGAAATCTTAAGTACAGACAGTAATAATCATGATGTTCTGGCCAACATTATAAATATGGAATTATAAATTAAAATGTTTTCTGGATACAAAAAATAAATTGCCTCGTCCATGCAGCCCTGCAGGGCTCTCTAGTAGGGCCGGTCTCTAAGTTCCTGACTGTTTTCATCATTATCCTTTTACGCAGGTCCTCCAGGGCCTCCAGGACCACCTCTTGTTCATTCCATCTGTTCCATCAATGGTCCAGGAGGAGCCCCAGGACCGCATCTTATTCCTCCACCAAGGCCACCTCGGTCCAAGGTACGGACATCTAAGAAGCAACCTCTGTCTCCACCTCTGCCTCCTCGGGACATTTCTGCAGGACCAACACGGTCCATAAGTCCGTCTGATCCTCGCTGCATGCCACCAGGGAAGCCTCACCAGGTGATAACAGAGAGCCACCTTGTGAAGGTTTTCTCTTACTACCCCCCATCCTCCCCCCCCCCCACACACACATAAACCTGAGCAGGTCCACTTTTAAGATTCTCAAACTCTCAGCTTTGAATTAAACTGAAAGGAACCATGGTTAACCGATAGCAGTGGTTATAGTGATAAAATTTCCCTGAGCAAAGAAATATTTGGGGACTATAAATCAAGACCCTGGCATGAACAGATAAGTTCTTCTAAAACGAATCAAATTCAGTGACATTTTTAATGAAAACTAAGATCTCAAAATTTCCTGAAAGGTTCAAGAAACCAAGCCGGAAGGATTTCTTCCTGAAAATTATGACGATGGCATCGTGCCTCAGACTACCGACAACACTGAATTACCTTCATTTCAAGGTACAAGGCATAGATGTGACACTTCTCAGGAATCTGAGAAAATAACACTTCACGACACCACAATGGATCACACACGTTCTTTAGGACTTACACTGGGCATGTAAGGGGAGACCACATGCTGACGCTAAGCTTGCTCTTGGTAGCCACACTGGTGACACCATGGACCCTCTGCAACATTAGTTTTGACAGTTAGTAAACATTTGGAATGTATTTGAAAACAATCACAACTATGAACTTTGTTGCAATTAGAGGCCCTCTAGGTTCTCCACAATGATACTGAGTATGCTCACAAGGGGTTCCCATTGTCAAGTCTTCAAACAAGCATCTTGAAGAGAAAAGAAACTCAAAAAACCACCATTCAATTGCTTTAATGTTTCTTCACAATTGATGGAAATCTTAAGTACAGACAGTAATAATCATGATGTTCTGGCCAACATTATAAATATGGAATTATAAATTAAAATGTTTTCTGGATACAAAAAATAAATTGCCTCGTCCATGCAGCCCTGCAGGGCTCTCTAGTAGGGCCGGTCTCTAAGTTCCTGACTGTTTTCATCATTATCCTTTTACGCAGGTCCTCCAGGGCCTCCAGGACCACCTCTTGTTCATTCCATCTGTTCCATCAATGGTCCAGGAGGAGCCCCAGGACCGCATCTTATTCCTCCACCAAGGCCACCTCGGTCCAAGGTACGGACATCTAAGAAGCAACCTCTGTCTCCACCTCTGCCTCCTCGGGACATTTCTGCAGGACCAACACGGTCCATAAGTCCGTCTGATCCTCGCTGCATGCCACCAGGGAAGCCTCACCAGGTGATAACAGAGAGCCACCTTGTGAAGGTTTTCTCTTACTACCCCCCATCCTCCCCCCCCCCCACACACACATAAACCTGAGCAGGTCCACTTTTAAGATTCTCAAACTCTCAGCTTTGAATTAAACTGAAAGGAACCATGGTTAACCGATAGCAGTGGTTATAGTGATAAAATTTCCCTGAGCAAAGAAATATTTGGGGACTATAAATCAAGACCCTGGCATGAACAGATAAGTTCTTCTAAAACGAATCAAATTCAGTGACATTTTTAATGAAAACTAAGATCTCAAAATTTCCTGAAAGGTTCAAGAAACCAAGCCGGAAGGATTTCTTCCTGAAAATTATGACGATGGCATCGTGCCTCAGACTACCGACAACACTGAATTACCTTCATTTCAAGGTACAAGGCATAGATGTGACACTTCTCAGGAATCTGAGAAAATAACACTTCACGACACCACAATGGATCACACACGTTCTTTAGGACTTACACTGGGCATGTAAGGGGAGACCACATGCTGACGCTAAGCTTGCTCTTGGTAGCCACACTGGTGACACCATGGACCCTCTGCAACATTAGTTTTGACAGTTAGTAAACATTTGGAATGTATTTGAAAACAATCACAACTATGAACTTTGTTGCAATTAGAGGCCCTCTAGGTTCTCCACAATGATACTGAGTATGCTCACAAGGGGTTCCCATTGTCAAGTCTTCAAACAAGCATCTTGAAAAGAAAAGAATCTCAGCAAACTACCATTCAATTGTTTTAATGTTTCTTCACAAATGGTGGAAATACTAAAGTACAGACTGTAATAATCGTGATGTTGTGGCAACATTATAAATATGGAATTATAAATTAAAGTAGTTTCTGGATACAAAAAATAAATTGCCTCGTCCATGAAGCCCTGCAGGGCTCTCTAGTAGGGCCGGTCTCTAAGTTCCTGACTGTTTTCATCTTTATCCTTTTACGCAGGTCCTCCAGGGCCTCCAGGACCACCTCTTGTTCATTCCATCTGTTCCATCAATGGTCCAGGAGGAGCCCCAGGACCGCGTCTTATTCCTCCACCAAGGCCACCTCGGTCCAAGGTACGGACATCTAAGAAGCAACCTCTGTCTCCACCTCTGCCTCCTCGGGACATTTCTGCAGGACCAACACGGTCCATAAGTCTGCCTGATCCTCGCTGCATGCCACCAGGGCAGCCTCACCAGGTGATAACAGAGAGCAACCTTGTGAAGGTTATTCTCTTACTACCCCCCATTCTCCCCCCCCCCCCACATAAACCTGAACAGGTCTCCTTTTAAAATTCTCAATCTCTCAGCTTTGAATTAAACTGAAAGGAACCATGGTTAACCGATAGCAATGGTTATAGTGATAAAATTTCCCTGAGCAAAGAAATATTTGGGGACTATAAATCAAGACCCTGGCATGAACAGATAAGTTCTTCTAAAGCGAATCAAAATCAGTGACATTTTTAATGAAAACTAAGATCTCAAAATTTCCTGAAAGGTTCAAGAAACCAAGCCGGAAGGATTTCTTCCTGAAAATTATGACGATGGCATCGTGCCCCAGACTACCGACGACACTGAATTACCTTCATTTCAAGGTACAAGGCACAGATGTGACACTTCTCAGGACACTTCACGACACCACAATGGATCACACACGTTCTTTAGGACTTACACTGGGCATGTAAGGGGAGACCACATGCTGATGCTAAGCTTGCTCTTGGTAGCCACAGTGGTGAAACCATGGACCTTCTGCAACATTAGTGTTGACAGTAAACATTTGGAATGTATTTGAAAACAATCACAACTATGAACTTTGTTGCAATTAGAGGCCCTCTAGGTTCTCCACAATGATACTGAGTATGCTCACAAGGGGTTCCCATTGTCAAGTCTTCAAACAAGCATCTTGAAGAGAAAAGAAACTCAAAAAAACCACCATTCAATTGCTTTAATGTTTCTTCACAATTGATGGAAATCTTAAGTACAGACAGTAATAATCATGATGTTCTGGCCAACATTATAAATATGGAATTATAAATTAAAATGTTTTCTGGATACAAAAAATAAATTGCCTCGTCCATGCAGCCCTGCAGGGCTCTCTAGTAGGGCCGGTCTCTAAGTTCCTGACTGTTTTCATCATTATCCTTTTACGCAGGTCCTCCAGGGCCTCCAGGACCACCTCTTGTTCATTCCATCTGTTCCATCAATGGTCCAGGAGGAGCCCCAGGACCGCATCTTATTCCTCCACCAAGGCCACCTCGGTCCAAGGTACGGACATCTAAGAAGCAACCTCTGTCTCCACCTCTGCCTCCTCGGGACATTTCTGCAGGACCAACACGGTCCATAAGTCCGTCTGATCCTCGCTGCATGCCACCAGGGAAGCCTCACCAGGTGATAACAGAGAGCCACCTTGTGAAGGTTTTCTCTTACTACCCCCCATCCTCCCCCCCCCCCCCACATAAACCTGAGCAGGTCCACTTTTAAGATTCTCAAACTCTCAGCTTTGAATTAAACTGAAAGGAACCATGGTTAACCGATAGCAGTGGTTATAGTGATAAAATTTCCCTGAGCAAAGAAATATTTGGGGACTATAAATCAAGACCCTGGCATGAACAGATAAGTTCTTCTAAAACGAATCAAATTCAGTGACATTTTTAATGAAAACTAAGATCTCAAAATTTCCTGAAAGGTTCAAGAAACCAAGCCGGAAGGATTTCTTCCTGAAAATTATGACGATGGCATCGTGCCTCAGACTACCGACAACACTGAATTACCTTCATTTCAAGGTACAAGGCATAGATGTGACACTTCTCAGGAATCTGAGAAAATAACACTTCACGACACCACAATGGATCACACACGTTCTTTAGGACTTACACTGGGCATGTAAGGGGAGACCACATGCTGACGCTAAGCTTGCTCTTGGTAGCCACACTGGTGACACCATGGACCCTCTGCAACATTAGTTTTGACAGTTAGTAAACATTTGGAATGTATTTGAAAACAATCACAACTATGAACTTTGTTGCAATTAGAGGCCCTCTAGGTTCTCCACAATGATACTGAGTATGCTCACAAGGGGTTCCCATTGTCAAGTCTTCAAACAAGCATCTTGAAGAGAAAAGAAACTCAAAAAACCACCATTCAATTGCTTTAATGTTTCTTCACAATTGATGGAAATCTTAAGTACAGACAGTAATAATCATGATGTTCTGGCCAACATTATAAATATGGAATTATAAATTAAAATGTTTTCTGGATACAAAAAATAAATTGCCTCGTCCATGCAGCCCTGCAGGGCTCTCTAGTAGGGCCGGTCTCTAAGTTCCTGACTGTTTTCATCATTATCCTTTTACGCAGGTCCTCCAGGGCCTCCAGGACCACCTCTTGTTCATTCCATCTGTTCCATCAATGGTCCAGGAGGAGCCCCAGGACCGCATCTTATTCCTCCACCAAGGCCACCTCGGTCCAAGGTACGGACATCTAAGAAGCAACCTCTGTCTCCACCTCTGCCTCCTCGGGACATTTCTGCAGGACCAACACGGTCCATAAGTCCGTCTGATCCTCGCTGCATGCCACCAGGGAAGCCTCACCAGGTGATAACAGAGAGCCACCTTGTGAAGGTTTTCTCTTACTACCCCCCATCCTCCCCCCCCCCCCACACACACATAAACCTGAGCAGGTCCACTTTTAAGATTCTCAAACTCTCAGCTTTGAATTAAACTGAAAGGAACCATGGTTAACCGATAGCAGTGGTTATAGTGATAAAATTTCCCTGAGCAAAGAAATATTTGGGGACTATAAATCAAGACCCTGGCATGAACAGATAAGTTCTTCTAAAACGAATCAAATTCAGTGACATTTTTAATGAAAACTAAGATCTCAAAATTTCCTGAAAGGTTCAAGAAACCAAGCCGGAAGGATTTCTTCCTGAAAATTATGACGATGGCATCGTGCCTCAGACTACCGACAACACTGAATTACCTTCATTTCAAGGTACAAGGCATAGATGTGACACTTCTCAGGAATCTGAGAAAATAACACTTCACGACACCACAATGGATCACACACGTTCTTTAGGACTTACACTGGGCATGTAAGGGGAGACCACATGCTGACGCTAAGCTTGCTCTTGGTAGCCACACTGGTGACACCATGGACCCTCTGCAACATTAGTTTTGACAGTTAGTAAACATTTGGAATGTATTTGAAAACAATCACAACTATGAACTTTGTTGCAATTAGAGGCCCTCTAGGTTCTCCACAATGATACTGAGTATGCTCACAAGGGGTTCCCATTGTCAAGTCTTCAAACAAGCATCTTGAAAAGAAAAGAATCTCAGCAAACTACCATTCAATTGTTTTAATGTTTCTTCACAAATGGTGGAAATACTAAAGTACAGACTGTAATAATCGTGATGTTGTGGCAACATTATAAATATGGAATTATAAATTAAAGTAGTTTCTGGATACAAAAAATAAATTGCCTCGTCCATGAAGCCCTGCAGGGCTCTCTAGTAGGGCCGGTCTCTAAGTTCCTGACTGTTTTCATCTTTATCCTTTTACGCAGGTCCTCCAGGGCCTCCAGGACCACCTCTTGTTCATTCCATCTGTTCCATCAATGGTCCAGGAGGAGCCCCAGGACCGCGTCTTATTCCTCCACCAAGGCCACCTCGGTCCAAGGTACGGACATCTAAGAAGCAACCTCTGTCTCCACCTCTGCCTCCTCGGGACATTTCTGCAGGACCAACACGGTCCATAAGTCTGCCTGATCCTCGCTGCATGCCACCAGGGCAGCCTCACCAGGTGATAACAGAGAGCAACCTTGTGAAGGTTATTCTCTTACTACCCCCCCATTCTCCCCCCCCCCCACATAAACCTGAACAGGTCTCCTTTTAAAATTCTCAATCTCTCAGCTTTGAATTAAACTGAAAGGAACCATGGTTAACCGATAGCAATGGTTATAGTGATAAAATTTCCCTGAGCAAAGAAATATTTGGGGACTATAAATCAAGACCCTGGCATGAACAGATAAGTTCTTCTAAAGCGAATCAAAATCAGTGACATTTTTAATGAAAACTAAGATCTCAAAATTTCCTGAAAGGTTCAAGAAACCAAGCCGGAAGGATTTCTTCCTGAAAATTATGACGATGGCATCGTGCCCCAGACTACCGACGACACTGAATTACCTTCATTTCAAGGTACAAGGCACAGATGTGACACTTCTCAGGACACTTCACGACACCACAATGGATCACACACGTTCTTTAGGACTTACACTGGGCATGTAAGGGGAGACCACATGCTGATGCTAAGCTTGCTCTTGGTAGCCACAGTGGTGAAACCATGGACCTTCTGCAACATTAGTGTTGACAGTAAACATTTGGAATGTATTTGAAAACAATCACAACTATGAACTTTGTTGCAATTAGAGGCCCTCTAGGTTCTCCACAATGATACTGAGTATGCTCACAAGGGGTTCCCATTGTCAAGTCTTCAAACAAGCATCTTGAAGAGAAAAGAAACTCAAAAAACCACCATTCAATTGCTTTAATGTTTCTTCACAATTGATGGAAATCTTAAGTACAGACAGTAATAATCATGATGTTCTGGCCAACATTATAAATATGGAATTATAAATTAAAATGTTTTCTGGATACAAAAAATAAATTGCCTCGTCCATGCAGCCCTGCAGGGCTCTCTAGTAGGGCCGGTCTCTAAGTTCCTGACTGTTTTCATCATTATCCTTTTACGCAGGTCCTCCAGGGCCTCCAGGACCACCTCTTGTTCATTCCATCTGTTCCATCAATGGTCCAGGAGGAGCCCCAGGACCGCATCTTATTCCTCCACCAAGGCCACCTCGGTCCAAGGTACGGACATCTAAGAAGCAACCTCTGTCTCCACCTCTGCCTCCTCGGGACATTTCTGCAGGACCAACATGGTCCATAAGTCCGTCTGATCCTCGCTGCATGCCACCAGGGAAGCCTCACCAGGTGATAACAGAGAGCCACCTTGTGAAGGTTTTCTCTTACTACCCCCCATCCTCCCCCCCCACACACACACACATAAACCTGAGCAGGTCCACTTTTAAGATTCTCAAACTCTCAGCTTTGAATTAAACTGAAAGGAACCATGGTTAACCGATAGCAGTGGTTATAGTGATAAAATTTCCCTGAGCAAAGAAATATTTGGGGACTATAAATCAAGACCCTGGCATGAACAGATAAGTTCTTCTAAAACGAATCAAATTCAGTGTCATTTTTAATGAAAACTAAGATCTCAAAATTTCCTGAAAGGTTCAAGAAACCAAGCCGGAAGGATTTCTTCCTGAAAATTATGACGATGTCATCGTGCCTCAGACTACCGACGACACTGAATTACCTTCATTTCAAGGTACAAGGCACAGATGTGACACTTCTCAGGACACTTCACGACACCACAATGGATCACACACGTTCTTTAGGACTTACACTGGGCATGTAAGGGGAGACCACATGCTGATGCTAAGCTTGCTCTTGGTAGCCACAGTGGTGAAACCATGGACCTTCTGCAACATTAGTGTTGACAGTAAACATTTGGAATGTATTTGAAAACAATCACAACTATGAACTTTGTTGCAATTAGAGGCCCTCTAGGTTCTCCACAATGATACTGAGTATGCTCACAAGGGGTTCCCATTGTCAAGTCTTCAAACAAGCATCTTGAAAAGAAAAGAATCTCAGCAAACTACCATTCAATTGTTTTAATGTTTCTTCACAAATGGTGGAAATACTAAAGTACAGACTGTAATAATCGTGATGTTGTGGCAACATTATAAATATGGAATTATAAATTAAAGTAGTTTCTGGATACAAAAAATAAATTGCCTCGTCCATGAAGCCCTGCAGGGCTCTCTAGTAGGGCCGGTCTCTAAGTTCCTGACTGTTTTCATCTTTATCCTTTTACGCAGGTCCTCCAGGGCCTCCAGGACCACCTCTTGTTCATTCCATCTGTTCCATCAATGGTCCAGGAGGAGCCCCAGGACCGCGTCTTATTCCTCCACCAAGGCCACCTCGGTCCAAGGTACGGACATCTAACAAGCAACCTCTGTCTCCACCTCTGCCTCCTCGGGACATTTCTGCAGGACCAACACGGTCCATAAGTCTGCCTGATCCTCGCTGCATGCCACCAGGGCAGCCTCACCAGGTGATAACAGAGAGCAACCTTGTGAAGGTTATTCTCTTACTACCCCCCATTCTCCCCCCCCCCCCACATAAACCTGAACAGGTCCCCTTTTAAAATTCTCAATCTCTCAGCTTTGAATTAAACTGAAAGGAACCATGGTTAACCGATAGCAATGGTTATAGAGATAAAATTTCCCTGAGCAAAGAAATATTTGGGGACTATAAATCAAGACCCTGGCATGAACAGATAAGTTCTTCTAAAGCGAATCAAAATCAGTGACATTTTTAATGAAAACTAAGATCTCAAAATTTCCTGAAAGGTTCAAGAAACCAAGCCGGAAGGATTTCTTCCTGAAAATTATGACGATGGCATCGTGCCCCAGACTACCGACGACACTGAATTACCTTCATTTCAAGGTACAAGGCACAGATGTGACACTTCTCAGGACACTTCACGACACCACAATGGATCACACACGTTCTTTAGGACTTACACTGGGCATGTAATGGGAGACCACATGCTGACGCTAAGCGTGCTCTTGGTAGCCACAGTGGTGAAACCATGGACCTTCTGCAACATTAGTGTTGACAGTAAACATTTGGAATGTATTTGAAAACAATCACAACTATGAACTTTGTTGCAATTAGAGGCCCTCTAGGTTCTCCACAATGATACTGAGTATGCTCACAAGGGGTTCCCATTGTCAAGTCTTCAAACAAGCATCTTGAAGAGAAAAGAAACTCAAAAAACCACCATTCAATTGCTTTAATGTTTCTTCACAATTGATGGAAATCTTAAGTACAGACAGTAATAATCATGATGTTCTGGCCAACATTATAAATATGGAATTATAAATTAAAATGTTTTCTGGATACAAAAAATAAATTGCCTCGTCCATGCAGCCCTGCAGGGCTCTCTAGTAGGGCCGGTCTCTAAGTTCCTGACTGTTTTCATCATTATCCTTTTACGCAGGTCCTCCAGGGCCTCCAGGACCACCTCTTGTTCATTCCATCTGTTCCATCAATGGTCCAGGAGGAGCCCCAGGACCGCATCTTATTCCTCCACCAAGGCCACCTCGGTCCAAGGTACGGACATCTAAGAAGCAACCTCTGTCTCCACCTCTGCCTCCTCGGGACATTTCTGCAGGACCAACATGGTCCATAAGTCCGTCTGATCCTCGCTGCATGCCACCAGGGAAGCCTCACCAGGTGATAACAGAGAGCCACCTTGTGAAGGTTTTCTCTTACTACCCCCCATCCTCCCCCCCACACACACACATAAACCTGAGCAGGTCCACTTTTAAGATTCTCAAACTCTCAGCTTTGAATTAAACTGAAAGGAACCATGGTTAACCGATAGCAGTGGTTATAGTGATAAAATTTCCCTGAGCAAAGAAATATTTGGGAACTATAAATCAAGACCCTGGCATGAACAGATAAGTTCTTCTAAAACGAATCAAATTCAGTGTCATTTTTAATGAAAACTAAGATCTCAAAATTTCCTGAAAGGTTCAAGAAACCAAGCCGGAAGGATTTCTTCCTGAAAATTATGACGATGGCATCGTGCCTCAGACTACCGACAACACTGAATTACCTTCATTTCAAGGTACAAGGCATAGATGTGACACTTCTCAGGAATCTGAGAAAATAACACTTCACGACACCACAATGGATCACACACGTTCTTTAGGACTTACACTGGGCATGTAAGGGGAGACCACATGCTGACGCTAAGCTTGCTCTTGGTAGCCACACTGGTGACACCATGGACCCTCTGCAACATTAGTTTTGACAGTTAGTAAACATTTGGAATGTATTTGAAAACAATCACAACTATGAACTTTGTTGCAATTAGAGGCCCTCTAGGTTCTCCACAATGATACTGAGTATGCTCACAAGGGGTTCCCATTGTCAAGTCTTCAAACAAGCATCTTGAAAAGAAAAGAATCTCAGCAAACTACCATTCAATTGTTTTAATGTTTCTTCACAAATGGTGGAAATACTAAAGTACAGACTGTAATAATCGTGATGTTGTGGCAACATTATAAATATGGAATTATAAATTAAAATAGTTTCTGGATACAAAAAATAAATTGCCTCGTCCATGAAGCCCTGCAGGGCTCTCTAGTAGGGCCGGTCTCTAAGTTCCTGACTGTTTTCATCTTTATCCTTTTACGCAGGTCCTCCAGGGCCTCCAGGACCACCTCTTGTTCATTCCATCTGTTCCATCAATGGTCCAGGAGGAGCCCCAGGACCGCATCTTATTCCTCCACCAAGGCCACCTCGGTCCAAGGTACGGACATCTAAGAAGCAACCTCTGTCTCCACCTCTGCCTCCTCGGGACATTTCTGCAGGACCAACACGGTCCATAAGTCTGCCTGATCCTCGCTGCATGCCACCAGGGCAGCCTCACCAGGTGATAACAGAGAGCAACCTTGTGAAGGTTATTCTCTTACTACCCCCCATTCTCCCCCCCCCCACATAAACCTGAACAGGTCCCCTTTTAAGATTCTCAATCTCTCAGCTTTGAATTAAACTGAAAGGAACCATGGTTAACCGATAGCAATGGTTATAGTGATAAAATTTCCCTGAGCAAAGAAATATTTGGGGACTATAAATCAAGACCCTGGCATGAACAGATAAGTTCTTCTAAAGCGAATCAAAATCAGTGACATTTTTAATGAAAACTAAGATCTCAAAATTTCCTGAAAGGTTCAAGAAACCAAGCCGGAAGGATTTCTTCCTGAAAATTATGACGATGGCATCGTGCCCCAGACTACCGACGACACTGAATTACCTTCATTTCAAGGTACAAGGCACAGATGTGACACTTCTCAGGAATCTGAGAAAATAACACTTCACGACACCACAATGGATCACACACGTTCTTTAGGACTTACACTGGGCATGTAAGGGGAGACCACATGCTGACGCTAAGCTTGCTCTTGGTAGCCACACTGGTGACACCATGGACCCTCTGCAACATTAGTTTTGACAGTTAGTAAACATTTGGAATGTATTTGAAAACAATCACAACTATGAACTTTGTTGCAATTAGAGGCCCTCTAGGTTCTCCACAATGATACTGAGTATGCTCACAAGGGGTTCCCATTGTCAAGTCTTCAAACAAGCATCTTGAAGAGAAAAGAAACTCAAAAAACCACCATTCAATTGTTTTAATGTTTCTTCACAATTGATGGAAATCTTAAGTACAGACAGTAATAATCATGATGTTGTGGCCAACATTATAAATATGTAATTATAAATTTAAAACTGTTTCTGGATACAAAAAATATATCGGGTCATCCATGCAGCCCTGCAGGGCTCTCTAGTAGGGCCGGTCTCTAAGTACCTGACTATTTTCGTCTTTGTCTTTTACGCAGGTCCTCCAGGGCCTCAAGGACCACCTCTTGTTCATTCCATCTGTTCCATCAATGGTCCAAGAGGAGTTCCAGGACCACGTCTTATTCCTCCACCAAGGCCACCTCGGTCCAAGCTACAGAAATCTAAGAAGCAACCTCTGTCTCCACCTCTGCCTCCTCGGGACATTTCTGCAGGACCAACACGGTCCATAAGTCCGCCTGATCCTCGCTGCATGCCACCAGGACAGCGTCACAATCTAATAATAGAGATCCACCTTGTGAAGGTTTTTCTCTTCCCACCCCCACCCCCCCCACACACACATAAGGCTGAGCAGGTCCCTTTTTCATTTTCTCAGTCCTTGGCCTTGGAATCAAACAGAAAGTAATCAAAGTTACACAATATTAGTGGTTATAGTGATAATATCCCCTGAGCCAACAAATATTTGAGGCCTGTAAATCAAGATCCTGGTGTTAACAGATAAATTCTTCTAAAGTGAACAAAAATCAGTGATACTTTTAATGAAAACTAAGATTTCAAAATTTCCTTAAAGGTTGAAGAAACCAAGCCTGAAGGAGTTCTTCCTGAAAATTATGAAGATGGCATTTTGCCCCAGCCTACCATCGCCACTGAATTACCTTCAGTTCCAGGTACAAGTCACAGAGGTGACACTCTTCAGGAATCTGAGAAAATGACACTTCACGACACCACAATGGATCACACACGTTCTTTAGGACTTACACTGGGCATGTAAGGGGAGACCACATGCTGATGCTAAGCTTGCTCTTGGTATCCACAGTGGTGAAACCATGGACCTTCTGCAACATTAGTGTTGACAGTTAGTAAACATTTGGAATGTATTTGAAAACAATCACAACTATGAACTTTG